TTCGATCGAATGAATTCTTCTAATCAACTTCACGTCATCTGCAAACAAGGACACTTCGGAGTCTATTCCTTCCGTCACGTCGTTCACAAATACCAGAAACAGCACTGGTCCTAGGACTGACCCCTGTGGGACCCCGCTGGTCACAGGTGCCCACTCTGACACCTCGCCACATACCATGACTCGCTGCTGTCTTCCTGACAAGTATTCCCTGATCCATTGTAGTGCCTTCCCTGTTATCCCTGCTTGGTCCTCCAGTTTTTGCACTAATCTCTTGTGTGGAACTGTGTCAAACGCCTTCTTGCAGACAAAGAAAATGCAATCCACCCACCCCTCTCTCTCTTGTCTTACTGCTGTCACCATGTCACAGAACTCCAGTAGGTTTGTGACACAGGATTTCCCGTCCCTGAAACCATGTTGGCTGCTGTTGATGAGATCATTCCTTTCTAGGTGTTCCACCACACTTCTGATAATCTTCTCCATGACTTTGCATACTATATATGTCAGTGACACTGGTCTGTAGTTTAGTGCTTCATGTCTGTCTCCTTTTTTAAAGACTGGGACTGAATTTGCTCTCTTCCATGCCTCAGGCAATCTCCCTGTTACGATAGATGTATTGACTATTGTTGTTAAGGGTACACATAGTGCCTCTGCTCCCTCTCTCAGGACCCATGGAGAGATGTTATCTGGCCCCATTGCCTTTGAGGTATCTAGCTCACTCAGAAGCCTCTTCACTTCTTCCTCGGTTGTGTGTACTGTGTCCAGCACTTGGTGGTGAGCCCCACCTCTCCTTCTTTCTGTAGCCCCTTCTGTCTCCTCTGTGAACACTTTTTTAAATCTCTTGTTGAGTTCCTCTCATACTTCATGGTCATTTCTTGTTGTCTCTCCTCCTTTCTTCCTTAGCCTGATTACCTGGTCCTTGACTGTTGTTTTCCTCCCGATGTCGCTGTATAAAGCTTCTGGTCAGATTTGGCTTTCACTGCTATGTCGCTTTCATATTGTCATTGGGCCTCCCTTCTTATCAGTGCATATTCATTTCTGGCTCTATGACTGCTCTCCTTATTCTTCTGGGTTTTTTGCCTTCTATATTTCTTCCATTTCCTAGCACACTTAGTTTTTGCCTCCCTGCAGCTTTGGGTGAACCATGGGCTCATCCTGGCTTTTCCATTAATCCTGTTACCCTTGGGTACAAACCTCTCCACAGCCTCCTTGCACATTGTTGCTACATATTCCATCATCTCATTAACTGACTTCCCTGCCAGTTCTCTGTCCCAATGAACCCCGTTCAGGAAGTTCCTCATTCCCGTGTAGTCCCCTTTCTTGTATTTTGGCTTCATTCGTCCTGGCCTTTCTGCTTCCCCCTCCACTTGTAGCTCTACTGTGTATTCGAAGCTTAAAACCACATGATCGCTTTCCCCAAGGGGTCTTTCATATGTGATGTCCTCAATATCTATACTACTCAAGGTGAATACTAGGTCCAGTCTTGCTGGTTCATCCTCTCCTCTCTCTCTTGTAGTGTCCCTTACGTGTTGGTACATGAAGTTTTCCAGTACCACCTCCATCATCTTAGCCCTCCATGTGTCTTGGCCCCCATGTGGCTGCAAGTTCTCCCAATCGATCTCCTTGTTGTTAAAGTCACCCATGATCAGGAGTTTTGCCCTGCATGCTTGAGCTTTTCTGGCCACTGCAGCCAGTGTGTCAACCTTCGCTCTATTGCTCTGTTATACCCTTGCCTTGGCCTCCTGCTGTTCTGTGGTGGGTTATACATCACTACAATTACCACCTTAGGACCTCCAGAGTGAAGTGTTTCCACTATGTAATCGCTTGCTTCTCCGCTGTCTCCTCCCTCCAGCTCATCAAAATTCCATCGGTTTTTGATCAACAGTGCCACTCCTCCACCCCCCCTGTTACCTCTGTTTTTCCTCAGGATCTGGTATCCCATTGGAAAGATGGCATCTGTTATCATACCTGTTAGCTTAGTTTCTGTCCGGTGATCCCTCTTTGACTCTTTCGTGCCACTCCTCCCACTTATTTGTTATTCCATCAGCGTTTGTGTACCATACCTTCAGTTTCCTTTCCAACACTGTGGTTTGGGGGGGCCTGTGAGGGTGGGAGACCTTGTAGCATACTGTGGGATTCTATAGCTGGGTGCTGGGTGGAAGCTGTGAGTGTGGATTGTAGTATGTGTTGGGATGGTGTTCTGAGGATAGTTCTGTGTGCTTGCCCTTGCTGCTCTGTTCTGCTCTGATTGACCTCTGCTGGTTCCATCCTTTTATGTATGTATGTATGTATGCATGTATGTATGTATGCATGTATGTATGTATGCATGTATGTATGTATGCATGTATGTATGTATGTATGTATGTATGTATGTATGTATGTAGTATGTATGTATGTATGTATGTGTATATATATATATATATATATATTATATATATATATATATATATATTATATATATATATATATATATATATATATATTTATATATATATATATATATATATATATATATATTTCCTTCTTTCTTTCAACACACCGGCTGCATCCCACCGAGGCGGGGTGGCTCAAAAGAAAAAAAAAGAAAGTTTCTCCTTTTGCATTTAGTAATATATACAGGAGAAGAGGTTACTAGCCCCTTGCTCCGGCATTTTAGTCGCCTCTTACAACACGCATGGCTTACGGAGGAAGAATTCTGTTCCACTTCCCCCTGGAGGATATATATATATTTTAAAATATATATATATATATTTTATATATATATATATATATATATATATATATTTTTTATATATATTGTGTGTGTGTTGTGTGTGTGTGTGGGTGTGTGTGTGTGTGTGTGTGTGTGTGTGTGGTGTGTGTGTGTGTGTGTACTCACCTAATTGTGGTTGCAGGGGTCGAGACTCAGCTCCTGGCCCCGTCTCTTCACCGACCGCTACTAGGTCCTCTCTCCCCCTGCTCCATGAGCTTTATCATACCTCGTCTTAAAACTATGTATAGTTCCTGCCTCCACTACATCGCTTGCCAGACTATTCCACTTCCTAACTACTCTATGACTGAAGAAATACTTCCTAACTTCCCTTTGGCTCATCTGAGTCTTCAGCTTCCAATTGTGACCCCTTGTTTCTGTGTCCCATCTCTGGAACATCCTGTCTCTGTCCACCTTGTCCATTCCACGCAGTATTTTGTATGTCGTTATCATGTCTCCCCTGACCCTCCTGTTCTCCAGTGTTGTCAGACCGATTTCTCTTAACCTTTCTTCATAGGATATTCCCCTTAGCTCTGGAACTAGCCTTGTTGCAAACCTTTGCACTTTCTCTAATTTCTTGACGTGTTTGACCAGGTGTGGGTTTCAAACTGGTGCTGCGTACTCCAGTATGGGCCTGACGTACACAGTGTATAAAGTCTTGAACGATTCCTTACTGAGGTACCGGAACGCTATTCTCAGGCTTGCCAAGCGCCCATATGCCGAAGCAGTTATCTGGTTAATGTGTGCTTCTGGCGATGTACTCGGTATATACTCACTCTAGGCTTTTTCATCCTTGAGTGAGGTTTGCAGCCTTTGGCTCCAAGCCTATACTTTGTCTGCGGTCTTCTTTGCCCTCTCCGATCTTCATGGACTTTGCATTTGGCGGGTTAAATTCTAGGAGACAGTTTCTGGACCACACATCCAGCTGTCCAGGTCTCTTGTAGACCTGTCTGGTTCGCGTCTGATTTAATTCTCCTCATTAACATCAGTCATCTGCAAACAGGGCACACTTCTGAGTCTATCCCTTTCCGTCATGTTCGTTCACATATACAAGAATAGCACTCGGTCCAGGACTGACCCCTGTGGGGACCCCACTCTTCACGGGAGCCCACTGTGTACCTTCATCACGGACCATGACTCGCTGTTGCCTCCATGTTAGGTATTCTCTGATCCATTGCAGTGCCCTTCCTGTTATTCGCCCCCCCCCCCCCCCCCCCCCCCCCCCCCCCCTGCTTGTTCCTCTAGCTTCTGTACTAATCTCTGTGCGGAACAGTTTCGAAGGCCTTCTTGCAGTCCAGAAAATGCACATCGACCCACCCCTTCCTCTCATTTCTTGCTTTCAGTACCTTGTCATAAAAACTTCTAGTAGGTTTGTGACAAAGGATTTCCTTCCACGAATCCGCGCTGGCTGTGGTTTATAAGCTTGTTACGCTCCAGGTGCTCACCACTATCCTCCTGATTAATCATTTCCAAGGACTTGGTTTTACTATACATGTCCAGTGACACTGGTCTTATAATTTAGTGCTTCATTTCTGTCTCCCTTTCTAAAGAATTTGGGGACTACTTTTGCCTTCTTCCTATTCAGGTAGTGGCCCAGTTTCAAGGGAAGTGTTGGAAGATTTCGGTGAGTGGCACACATAGTGTCCTGCTCCCTCTCTAAGGACCCTCGGGAGAGATGTTATCGGTCCCACCGCCTTTGAGGTATCACTTAGTGCTTCTTTCACTCCTCCTCAGTTGTGTGGTATTCGTCCAACATTGTTGGTATACCCCTTGTTGCTTGTACCCACTGTTGCACCTTCCCATTGTCCCTTTAGCCTCCACTGTAAATACTTCCTGAAATCTCATGTTGACCTCCTCACATTCCTCCTGGTCGTTTCGTGTGAGCTCTCCACCTTCTTTCCTCAGCTGTGTGTGTGTGTGTGTGTGGTGTGTGTGGGGTGTGTGTGTGTGTGTGTGTGTGTGTGTGTGTGTGAGTGTGTGTGTGTGTGTGTGTGTGTGTGTGTGTTTATACGTATAATTATACAATAAGCTTCACCGGGATGTTATCATGTGTTAGGAACATTTGTTGCTGACTCGTATTTACTTTTAAATAGCCTGAGAGCATGTTCTTTACGTGGTGTGTGAGGACGGGTATCGTGGCAGGCAGCTCTCCCTCTCACCTCCCACATTAGGTGAGCGGGAGGGCGGATTCCCAGAGCGTCCTTGACCCACTGCACAAGCCAGCGGATATATAAGCCGGTTGCTGCGGCTTGAAAGGGATTTACAATCTCACTAAGGTAGGTGGTGGTGGTGCTTTGTCCGTCAAGAGACAGTCTCCGGTGTCTGTGTCAGATGAGAACCCTCTTAGTGATTCAACAGCATCCCTCATATCAGTGCTGGATATCAGTGATAAGTCAGTAACTTGCCTATAGTTGGCTGCGGTACCAGGAACAGGCACCGCTTGTTACCTGTCTGGGGTATTAGTAAATAGGGAACGGCTGGCGTATTGAACAATTTGTTACGCAACTCCTTGGCGCACCAGTGCCGAGCCTCATTTGTTACACAACTACTGGCGTACCCACTATGAACTAAAGGTCACCACGTAGCTTCTTAGAATTTTATGTATAAGGTTTGTGACTGATGGAGCTGAGAGACGCTGCCTCCATATACCTCTACACTGTAACAGTATCACAACACAACTCTTCAGTGTATCACTCTCACACAACACAATTCTTCAGTGTATCACTCTCACACAACACAATTCTTCAGTGTATCACTCTCACACAACACAATTCTTCAGTGTATCACTCACACACAACACAACTCTTCAGTGTATCACTCTCACACAACACAATTCTTCAGTGTATCACTCACACACAACACAATTCTTCAGTGTATCACTCTCACACAACACAATTCTTCAGTGTATCACTCTCACACAACACAACTCTTCAGTGTATCACTCTCACACAACACAATTCTTCAGTGTATCACTCACACAACACAACTCTTCAGTGTGTTACGTAAAGAAGTCAATGATGCCTTTAACATTCAGAAGCTTTAATCAACCGACGTCTTAATTTTTATTCCTGAAGTGAAAGACATTTGAGTTCGCTCTTTCCCATGTGTCTGCATCTGGCGTGTGATATAGTTAAAAACTTTTCATACGATGATTAACAAAAAAAACAATTCTCCCTCGTGGTATAAATTTTTTCCTGTTGGTTATGCTACGGGTATTGCTTCATCCTATCCCTTCTAATGATTTTTGTAGGGGGATACGTTTTTAAGATTGTCCTAAATAAATAATAATAAATTGTCATATCCTGAAACCCCAGTAAATTTTCCCACGAAAACAGATATATCTCCCACGAACCCCGATAATACTCCTACGAACCACAGATTATATCCTACGAAACCCAAAAATTTTCTCCCAAACCACAGTAATACTCCACGAACCCAGATACTACTCCTACGAAAACCAAAGATTTCATACTCCACCCAAACCCCGTATACTCCCACGAACCCCCAGAATACTCCACAACCACGATTATACTCCGAACCACGATAATTTCTCCCACGAACCACAGTAATACTCCACGAACCAGGGTACATACTCCTACGAACCCATTATACTCCCACGAACACAGACATTTCCCGCCAAGGCAATCAGCGTACTTTCCTAAAGATTCCCTTTTTTTTCAAAGTATTATACTCCGGGAACACAATACAAAAAATCTTTTAAATCCAGCACGTAACAAACCCTCGACCGTAAATACCCCAGGAAAAATTTTTCCTTCGAAAAAGTCATTTCCTTTTTAAGCACGCAGCTTCTCCCAAAATTTTCAATTCTTTTTTTGAAGATGGAAAACTACTTTTTATTACAAAGGTTTTTTCCTGTTCACCAAGGAATAAGTATGTCCAGGGTATTACCATATTCGGTTTCGGTCAAGACAGTTTTCTGGCCCGTTTTTTCTGGGTTTTTAAGAATCTTTCCCGAATTAAGGTTTAAAGGTTTTCTTAAAGTTGAGGGTTCATCACTCATTCTCCGTTATTCCATTTCCCAAAATTTAAGGGGTTAAAGGGAAAAGGGGGGTTGTAATACTTAAACAAAGCTCGGGGCAAAAAGTTTTGGTAGAAAAATGTGTAATCGTATGTGAACCGTAAAAAAGAAATACCGTCTGGGGAATATTGATGTTCGGGTTTCTGTCCGTGAGCATCTCTAGGTTTATTATAAATTGTTCGTTACTTTTATTATTGCTTAAGATGATGAGATGTGGTGAGTGTGGTGAATGCTAGAGGTGAGGTGGAGGGCCGAGGTAGGTGAGTGTGGTGAATGCTGAGGTGAGTGTGGTGAGGGCCGAGGTAGGTGAGTGTGGTGAATGCTAGAGTGAGGTGAGGGCCGAGGTAGGCGAGTGTGGTGAATGCTGAGGAGGGGGGAGTGTGAGGAGTGCGAGTGTAGTGAGTGCTGAGGTGAGTATGGTTTAGGGCTGAGGTGTGGTGAGTGCTGAGTGAGGGGCGTTGAGGGCTGAGAAAGGTGAGTGTGAGTTGGTGTGAGGGCTGAGGTGAGTATGTTGAGGACTGAGGTGGGGTTTGAGGCTGAGGGTTTAGTGTGTTGAGGGCTGAGGTGAGTGTGTTGAGGACTGAGGTGAGTGTGTTGGGGAGGATGTGTGGGAGGTAGTGTGTTGGCGAGGATTGTGAGAGTGAGGGGTTGTTGAGGTGTTGGAGAGGTGAGTGTGTTGAGGGACTGAGGTGAGATGTGAATGATGGTGGTGGGGATTTGCTTAATCGCCCCCAGCTTCCTTGTTCACCCCATCACCTCCATGTTCCCTCTCACCTCACACCCCACCCTCACCACCACCCTCACCCTCACCCTCACCCCCACCCTCACTCCATCACTACCAATATGACATGGAAATACAGTTAGGTTTTGTACTCACAAGGAAAGTATCACATGGAACGAGGCAGCACTACACTGCATCTTATTTTGGTAAATAATAATTAAAACTTGTGTTCCCTCATCCCATTTCTCTTCCCCAATACAGAATCCCATTATTACCCCTTCACCACCATACAATCTTGCGTCATAGACAGATGAGAATATCATCTCCCAAATGTACACAACTGTACATCTCTCAGTGTCACTGTGTCCGAGCAAGTGTTAAGTGTAGCAAGTGTAGCTGTCTTTCTTCTCTTCTGTTGACTGTCCCAACAAGTACACAAGCCAGGCGAGTGTCACCTTCCCAGTAGATGTGATTGTACCAAGTAAGACTTTCATAAGTTGACCCCAGCCGAGCTATCACTTGATCTCAATAAGGTACTCACCCAGTTGTGACTGTGGGATTGGAATGTCGGAATCTGACCTCATATCTGAACTGCATGTAACTGCTTTCACTAGTTCCTTGCCTCGAAATCCTTGTCGTACTTATCCTTAAAGCTGTTTATTGTATTTATTTCCACCCCTTCTCTTCCTGGTCATTCCAGTTCCTCCTCACCTTGAAGACGACGCATATCCTAACATACCTTTTACTTACACAAATAACCCGCACAGAGAAGAGAGGAGCTTACGACGACGTTTCGGTCCGACTTGGACCATTTACAAAGTCACACTGTATCGTTCCAGTCACGGTATTGAGCCCTTTTTTGTTATTTATACCTTTTTTGTTATTTATACCTTTTTTGTTATTTATACCTTTTACTTCTAAGTATACCACTTGGTTCTTAAGTACCACCTTTCACACAGTCTAGCCTTTCCTGTCCAGTTCAGTCCACTGAACATAATGGAGTATAATGAGCGTTGTTGACATGTCTTCCCTGGTCTTTTTTTTTTTTTAATCTTGTTAGATTCACCTCTTATAATCTTCCCTTTTAGGTGAGCCTTTACTGATGCAAGACCAAACCTGTTCATAACGCAACACCTCATGAATATTCAGCCTGACAACGTTCTGCCCAGAACAATGTTCTACCCAGAGCAGTGTTCTACCCAGAATAATGTTCTACCCAGAGCAGTGTTCTACCCAGAACAATCTTCTACCAGAACAATGTTTAACCCTAAAAACTTTGTTCTACCCAGAATGTTTTTAACCGGGAAAATGTTCTACCGAACAATGTCCTACCCAGAATAATGTTCTACCCAGAGCAGTGTTCTACCCAGAATAATGTTCTACCCAGAGCAGTGTTCTACCCAGAACAATCTTCTACCCAGAACAATGTTCTACCTAGAACATTGTTCTACCAAAACAATGTTCTACCCAGAACAGTGTTCTACCCAAAATTTGTTCAAAACTGAAACAAATGTTCTACCCAGAACAATGTCCTACCCAGAACTATGTCCAACCCAGAGCAATGTTCTACTCAGAACAATGTTCAACCTAGAACATTGTCAAATAAAAAGAACATATCGGGTAAAAGTTAATTGGTTTGTCAACATTGGCTTAAAATTCTCACGAATTTATTATGAAAATATGTTACTATTTTCTTTATATTAAACTCAAATTTATAATATTTTTCTCAACCACAGGTCACAGTTTTCTCAGGTTTTAACCATTAAATGGAATCACTAAAAGCTCTTATAAGAATAAACAAGGAATATGACTCCTGCTTAGTTTTAATACTACTGAACATTTTCCGGTTTTCCCTAATCAAAATTTTCACATTCTGCACACGGGATCTCATAGACACAATCATCATAATTTTTCTGGGGAGCTCCTGGGCAAACGGTTTTGTTAACATCAGAACTTTAAAATATAATAAAGAAGAAAGAAGGAATTTCAAGGAATCGTACGTGATATATTAACAACACATTCTTGGCTGAACATAGGTCTTCCTCTTTCTAGGTTTGTGAAATTAGTTTCTAGAATTTTGGGGGGAGGATTTATGGATTGTAGATTAGGGACTTTTTCGAACACCTTAAGTGTTTCGTTATCTATGAACTCGGGGTTGCAAATATGCAGTGATTCCAGAACATGGAGAAGAACACAGAACATTTCACTCTGTCGTGATGTGAACAATAATACACATAGAAACAAATACTGATTTTCTTTGTATCGTAGAATCGAATTATTTGTTCCTCTCATAATAAAAGAATTTTAAAAAGGCGGTGAGTTATTTTGTTTAATAGGCTATTTCTAATTTGAAAAATTCTTTCTAATTTGAAAGGACTTTTTTTTAATTTGAAAGGAGTCTTTCCAATTTGATGGGATTCTTTCTAATGTGATGGGATTCTTTCTAATTTGGACGGATTCTTTCTAATTTGAAGGGATACTTTCTAATTTTGAGGGATTCTTTCTAATTTGGAGGG